GGCCAGGCGCCCCCCAGCCTCGTCAGCACCTTTAGCCAGGAAAAGCATCATCGCCAGGGGCTCCTCTCCAGGGTGAGCAGGGGGTACCAGTGGAAACACATTGTCATCCCCTTCCTTGGGGAAAAGGGGAAGACAGACACAGCCCCATGGCTCGGGGTGGGGCAAAGGCAGTTGGCAAATGTGGGACAGTCTTCGTGCCACTCTGCACCAAGGCTGGGCTGAGATCGGTGCCAGGCAAAGGGAGCCCCTTTTCCGTGTCTCACATTCCACCCCGGCTTTCAGAGATTTGGGGCTTATCTTGCTGCAGAGCTGTTCGTTTCCCTAGCTGCGAGCATCAATTAGGTGTCCCTGGGGGTAATTACCAGCCTGAAATGCCGCTCTTCTTCCACAGCCCCCCACCTCCAGTTCCCTGCATCACCGTAAAGCAGCCCTGAAATATTTCTGGGAGAGGGCAGGGATCGCGGCTGCATATGAACTTGCCTGCACAATGCAGGCTCCAGCCTCGGGGTTATTTTTAGCAGTTCCCTCCGAGATGCTCTTCACTTGCAGTTTTATTTGTGAAATTTAATATATGAGGGAGAGGGGAGGGGAGTGGGGCTGGATCCTGGCACGTCCTCCCGTAAAGCAGCCCTGAAATATTTCTGGGAGAGGGCAGGGATCGCGGCTGCATATGAACTTGCCTGCACAATGCAGGCTCCAGCCTCGGGGTTATTTTTAGCAGTTCCCTCCGAGATGCTCTTCACTTGCAGTTTTATTTGTGAAATTTAATATATGAGGGAGAGGGGAGGGGAGTGGGGCTGGATCCTGGCACGTCCTCACTGGCTGTCCCCGTGCCATGTTGTGGGCTCGGGGACCCGCTGTCACCTGCCGCTGGCCCTCAGCACACCCACCGGCACAGAGCAGGAGCAGCAGGGGTTTTGGGGAGCCCACCCAGACCAGCCCCATCTCCAGCCAGAGCAGTAAGGAGCAACCCAGGAGGTCCCCGCCCCATGGCACGGGCCTCAGGAACGGGGAAGGCTGTGGGGTCCATCCACCCCCGTGGCATCACCTGCGTCCCCTGAGCTCCCAGCACCGGAAGCTAATGAAGAAAACCCAGTTTGCAAGGTACAGCATGGCCCGGGGTCGGTGTGTCCCTGTTTATGGGGCATGAGTGTGCCCACAAATCCAGAGCAGCAGGAAGGACCACTTTCTTCCCAAGGAGCCTGTGGCAGAGCAGGGAGGGAGGGAAAAACCTTTCCCTTTGCCATGGGACCCAAAGGGGACAGTGGCCGACACGTCAGAGCCCTGAGTGTCTTGCAGTAGCTTTTGTTGTGCTGGGCCAAATGGTGACCGGGCTCAGCCCCAGCACCATGGCAGGAGCAGACCCACAGCAGGGAACAGTGATCCCGCCCCATCCCATCCCAGGGGCTGGGCATGCAGCCCGTCCCAACCACATCAGGCATGCATGAAGGGACAGGACAGCATCAGTGACCCCCAACCAGCCTGTCAGTGTTGCCATGAGACACATACACCAGCCTCTAACACAAAACCATCCTTGTGCTGGGCACTGCCGGCTCATACGGCACCTGCCAGCATGGGTCCTTGGAGAGCAGTTACCTGACCTCCAAGTGCTGCTAAGGGAGCAGGGGGGAGGCAGAGCTGCTCTGCTGGAGAGCAGCACCTCCCAAACTTGCTCCTGGGGGTGCTCCATTTCTGGCCATTTCGAGGGCTGACTTTGGGGCTGCCTGTGCTCAGCTCTGGCCCAGCACTGGGGTTTCACAGCGCAACCGAGACAGGACCAGCAATGGCAAAGCCCTCTGGAAGATCCCAGCGCTGGTCCAGAGCAATGTGAACACATCACCAACTCACCGGATTTTATCATTTCCTCCCAGGCAAAGCTGGTCACATCACACAGAGCCCACCTGGGGCCCAGAAAGGGCTGAATGGGAACATCCATCTTCCTCACGCTCCTCATCAGAGGCTGTCCGTGCCGAGGTGCCAGTGCTCCCTGCAACCCAGGGTCCTCTCCATGCCACCACCCTTTGACACGGGAGCAGAGCAGCAGCCAGATGCACGGGACCAAAGACGTCTGCTACCCTCTTGCCGTGCAAGCTCCTCTTTTGGAGAGTCTCTGCTGTAGAAAACCAGCACATCCATCTTCCTCACGCTCCTCATCAGAGGCTGTCCGTGCCGAGGTGCCAGTGCTCCCTGCAACCCAGGGTCCTCTCCATGCCACCACCCTTTGACACGGGAGCAGAGCAGCAGCCAGATGCACGGGACCAAAGACGTCTGCTACCCTCTTGCCGTGCAAGCTCCTCTTTTGGAGAGTCTCTGCTGTAGAAAACCAGCTGCTGGAAAGGAAA